GCTGGCTAGCTAGCTGGCCAGCTAGCTAGCTAGCCAGCTAGCTAGTTGGTTAGCTAGCTGGCCAGCTTGTTAGCTAGCCAGCTAGCTAGCTAGCTAGATATTTGTCTGTTCGGCTGCCCAGCTGGCTAGCTAGCTAGGCGCCCAGGAAGTTCGGTAGGTGGCTGGTTAGCTAGCTAGCTAGCTAGCTAGCTACCTAGCTAGGCCCAAAATAGATGGCCTCACTTTTGGCCAGCTTGTCAGTCAGCTAGCTAGCTAGCCAGCTAGCTAGCCGGCTGAGCAGAGCCGGCCGAGAAGCCAGCGAAAACGACAGCTAGCCAGCTAGCCAGCCAGCTTCACAGCTAGCTAGCTAGCTAGCTACCCAGCTAGCCAGCCTTATAGCTAGCTAGCGCCATAGCTGGCCAGCCTCATAGCTAGCTAGCTAGCTAGCTAGCTATTGCTAGCTAGCTAGCTAGGGCTCATCTCTGTAGGCTGAAGCGGCAGCATACTGAGACTGCCTTTGCCTGAGGTTGGCCCACTGGGAATTGGCTGGGGAGGAAAACGCTGAATTAGGGTTTAGGCTTGGGTTTAGATTAGGGTTTAGATTAGGGTTTAGACTGGGGCGGAGGCCAGCGTTGAGCCCCGGCTTCAAGCTAGGGTTTAGGCCAGGGTTTAGGCTAGGGTTTAGGCTAGGGTTTAGCTTCGCCAAGTTCAAATAATACTTGGAATATAATAAAAGAGAAAATGCAGAAATGAAAACCACCACAACTGTCACGGACATCTCCAGCCCCAGCCGGGTGTACAGACACCTCAGCAGCCCCAACACCTGCGCGCAAACCCTAAACCCTAAACCCTAAACCCTAGGCAGCCGCTGCTGCAGCGCAACGCCCGCGCAGCAGCAGCAGCAGCAAAACTACAAGCTAGACCCCAAACTTCTGGAGGGACCTTCAAACCCTAAACCCTAAACCCTCGAGCTTGCCCGCCACTTGCTCGCTCCTCCCAAACCCTAAACCCCAAACCCTAAGACCTTAGCCCCAAATCTAAACCCTAAGCCCCAAACCCTAAACCCCAAACCTAAAACCCAAACGCTAAACCCTAAATCCCAGACCCTAAACCCCAAACCCTTAGCCCCAAACCCTAGGCCCCAAACCCTAAACCCTAAACCCTAAACCCTAAACCCTAGGACTGACCAGGTGCTCGAAGCCGCTGCGCAAAAGGCTGATGGAGGTTTGGAAGCCGAGGGCCAGGATAAGACCAGCAGCAGCAAAAAAGATGAAAAAGAAAGAAAACAAAAAGGACAAATAAACCCCCAACAGAACCATTATGCAACCCACAATCTGCAAAACCACAAACCACAAACCCTTAACCCTAAACCCTCAAGACACCAGCAGCAGACATGCCAGGAAGACCCCAGCCGCCCCAAACCCTAAACCCTAAGGCAGCGAAGAACTGCAGAACAAGACCCCGAACCGCGCCCAAACCCTAAACCCTAAACCGTAAACCCTGAAGCATGGGACAACTGCAGCACCAGACCCCAAACCCCAAACCCCCCACACCCCAAACCCTAAACCCTAAACCCCAAACCCCAAACCGCAAACCGCAAACCCTAAACCCTAAACCCTAAACCCTACGAGGTAGAGGAGGGCGAAGAAGTTGGCGTGGATGAGGGGCTGGTACTCCCTCTTGAGTTCCGTGTGGACCCAGTGTACAGACACCCGAGAAACGAGAGCGGCAGATAAATTCACATTTGAATTTATTTCCAAATTTGCTGACAGCAGCAGCAGCTCAGCTTGCTGCTGCGCGAAAGCAGCAAAAGAGCGCCACAAGTAAAACCTCGAAGCCTCCTCCTGCACAACCAAACCCCAAACCCTAAACCCTAAACCCTAAACCCTAACCCCGAACCACACGCCTTGCGCGCGCCTTCACGCGAAGGCCCCAGCCTGTGCAGAGTCCGCTTGCTTCCCGCTCAAAGAACCCAGAAACCCTAAACCCTAAACCCTAAACCCTCAAGTCCAGACACAGGGAGTTCGCGCTTTCACGTGCGCCCAGGAAACTCTGCAGAGGTCGCGCTCTTAAGCCACAAACCCCCCCAAAACCCCAAACCCTAAACCCTAAACCCTAAACCCTCACCGCGAGTTCCGCCTTCAGCTGGTCCAAAGGTCTGCTGCAGTTGACTTTAATTGCTTCGATGTTGGCCTCTTCAAGTGCTGCTCCCATTTCGTGCAGCTGCTGCTCCATTTCAGCCGAAACCTAAACCCCACGCCCCAAACCCTAAACCCTAAACCCTAAACCCTAAACCCTAAACCCCAAATCCCCATGGAGGGCGATCGGGCGCCTGCGCGGGGCCCCAACGCTCAGACAGCCCCACCCCCAAACCCTAAACCCTAACCCCCCGACCCCGAACCCCAAACCCTAAACCCTAAACCCTAAACCCTAAACCCTAACCTCCTTCCAAGGGTCTGCGCCGGCGCAGTAAACCCTCGCCAGCTCCTCGCGGGCCTTGCCTTTCGTCAGTTCAATCCTAAACCCTAAACCCTCTTCTTCTACTGGCAAAGGGGTTTCCAAAGAAGACAAAACCTCGTGTTTGAAAAGCATTTCCCAACGACTCGCCACTTCCTGCGCACAAACCCTAAACCCTAAACCCTAAACCCTAAACCCTAAACCCTCGACGCCACACCCGCCTCCACAACACGCTCCACATCGCAAGCACCAGCAAAGCACCTTCTAGCACGCCCAGCCAAAAACCCTAAACCCTAAACCCTAAACCCTAAAACCCAGGCTGTGCAAATTAAGACCTTAAAACCTAAACCCTAACCCCTAGAGCCGAAAAAATAACACCTCCAAGCTAACAACTAGATCATGAACAAACTCAAAACGGTCTAAACCCTAAACCCTAAACCCTAAACCCTAACCTGCGCCGTTTCCTTGCACTTGCTGCTCCACATTTTCAACCCTAAACCCTCGACTTCACTTAACCTC